ACTTATTGAGCATCTACTAGAAATCTGACACCAGAAATCCTGCAGTGGAGGTCTCTGCATGATGGAGTGAAGCTTCAAGGAGAAAGAAAAGCCTAGAAAGAGCAGAATATGAAGTTAAAATGCACTCCACTAGGAGACGTGGGATAAACAACCTCACGATGTACAATGACTTTAAAAAAATGAGTTAGTATTACCAGCAGAGGACAGTCACCAATGTGCATAATAATTGCTGTGAGCTATTCAGGAAATCCAAAACTGAATTAAATTACGGTCGGTATAATCTGCTTAAGAAGTCAAGAAAATTTAAAATATACTAGAGGAAAGAAATTTCCCTAAACCTAAAATATATAAGGGGAAAATATTTCATTAACTTAAAAAAGTTCTGTGGCCCCCTTCTTCCTCATTGCGTATCCAGCCCCATGGATGGTGGGTGGGGCCGGACGAGTAGGTCTGGCCTGGAGTCGTGCTTCAGTTTGCACAAGAGGATATCAATTCTGTCCTCTCTATGGCTGTCAGGACAAATTTGTAACATAGACCATCTGCTTTTCAGGTCCTGGGTGGTGACTATAACCTCAAACTCCATAATTCCCATAAAATTTAGTTATGAGCAATGATATTTAAGGTCGATTGTCTACGGGACATGCATTCTACACGGTCCTTTAGTAGAACTAAGGTTTAAGTATGGATCAAGTCAAGTTTTGTCCTTGGGCTATGCAATTTTTGGACATTTATAGAATTGTTTTTTAACTGAAAGTGTTTTCTGTGGCTTATGTGGAGGAAGGTTACAAGAAATTTTGACAGGAAATTCTTTAGCGTGTGTATTATAGCACGTTACTGAGAATTCAGTTGTCTGGAATACACGCATTATGCCCTTTAAGAGAAATTTCTTTCTAGCCTTACTATGAGGATTCAGAATTTTCCTGAGGCAGTTGATTTGTTTTTATCTCATGGATGTTGTGCATTTTGTCCTTTCTCTGTTTCCCTTTTTGCTTGGGTTTCTAGGAAGCTTACAATCAAGGTTTCTGTCTATCTTAAATAATGGAAAAGGACTTTACATATATGTGCATGTATGTATGATTCTTCCCCCAGACTTTTTTCTTTACACTTATTGTATGATCTAATTATAGTTTTACAGTTTTAAAAAAAATTGTCATAAGCTGTCACAAATTATGGAGGAGATGTAAGAAAGGGAAAGAATGAGAGGATGGACGGTTGAATACATGAATGGGTGGATGACTGAATGAATGAAAGAATGGATGAAGCTCTTTTGCTTTATGATGCCAGATAAATAAGACAATCATTAAATTAGCTAAGCAACTGAATTCTTGGACCACTCCAGGCAACCCAAAGCTGGCTGATCTTCATGTACTATTTTCATTTAGAATTAACCAAGCCATTGCTTTTTTAAAAAGGGCTCCGGGCCCCTTGAACGCACTCAGTTACAAACTGAGACTCTGCAGCTGGGATAGCTCCTTTGCCACACACGACCAACTGAAGGGGTCCTGCACAGGCATCCTGGTTATGTTTCTTCTGCATAGTTTGATGTTACTAATGAATGCACCAAGCCCCTTTCTTTAGACTTTAAAGAAAACTAAAACTCAACCTTTTATGAGAGGGGAGGTAAGCCAATGCTTTTAGATTATTATCTGGTTGCTCATATATTTTCTGCCTTATATGCTGATAGCCAACTGCAAAGCTTATCCCAATTTGGAAGGTAACCTTAGTCCTTTATCCACAAGCGCCTCCATTACTCTGCTTCCGGGATCCAGATTTCTTTTGCAGACGAGTTATTTCATAGGATTTGAAATCATGCTGCTGTATACAAGAAACATCTCCAGAGCAAACTCACCCTGGCAGAAGGTCAGAACACAGGATGAGCCACTGGCTGGAGCTCAGCTATCTGGAAGAAAACGCTTGAGGGGGAGGGAAACGCCACTCTTCTAAGCATCTCACTAGCTACACCTGGTATCTTCTCGATTGGCATAGATGGAGGGTTAGAGCAATTTGGCTCCAAAGGTGAGGAGGTTTTAGTACCGTCCACTAAAGAATGCACTCCAGTCATAGAAAATAATGACAGTCAAGCCAGAAAGGTGAAGTTTTGCCGTTGCTTTGAGGAGGATTTTGTTGTCAAAAGCATTTTAGTTGTATAGTTTATGTCCGGTTTGTCTCTTTAGAACAGAGGCTCTTTGGGCAGGAAATGTGTGCAGTGACTCTCCCAATGAAGGGCTTCACAACGTCAAGTAATAACAGCGACAATAAGAGGACAGCAGGAAATAATTTTTTACTGTCATGTATGGGCTGAATGTGTCGGAAGGGGTTTTCCTTCACCGAAGAAAGAGACAAAGACCAAACTGGTACCAGATCTTTAGAACACAAGGTCATTGCCAGGAGACCAACCTTAAAAATTCGGTGTAATTAACCAGCTAAACATAACACAACCAATCACAGTGTCGCTTTGTTTGTGCCACCACGCCTACCCAGAAAACCAGCCCCCTTCATCAAACTCAATTCAGAACACCCAGGCGCAGCTCTGCATTTTGCATCTTCTGTGTCAAACTCTATTTTCAATCCTTTATGTCAAATTTAAATGCATGGCAACTGCATTCAGATCTTGATAGAATCCACAATTTGCCCTGGACCCCAAATCTATTCCACAAGACACACACACACACACACACACACAGACGTGAGCATGCACATATTTGGACTTGATCTGCACTCACTTTAAGCCAGAGTCAAGAATTTTGAATGACTGCCTGTTGGCAGGAGCTTTAACAAGTTCTCAGATAAATATCCGCTGAAAACAAGGGTATTACACAATTGGGTCTTCACCCCTTAGGTGAAGAAATCATATTAGCACAGCTCTTGTTTGGGATGAAAACGGACCCTCAAATTTTCTGTGGTATTCTCCCCAGTTGCTGAGGCTTAAATTGCTATCAATCTTAAGTGAGCTGAACAAATTGGTGTCAGTGATGAAAAATGGCTAAGTTTGACTCTGAACACACAGATCAGTTGTGTCCACCAAAATGAGGTCTTGATTAGGCAGAAAACTAACAAAAATACTCTATCCACAACTTACAATCTAATACAACGACCAAAAGAAAAGAAATCACTCACAGCGTTATCACTAAGAAAACATTCTAGACAGCCCCGAGACGTGAATTGACCTCTCTTATGGAAATCATCTTTGCTTGGGTATCTATATAGTCACAAAAGGATACAGTTTTTAAAAGCTCATTTTCTCCCTAATAATTGACTATTTTTTAAAAGCTATCAGCAGGTGCACCTCATTTCAAAAGCCTCTTGTCCTTCGTAACACAATGTTCATCACGATTATACAGTATGAAATCAAAAGCAGCAAAACATGAGGGAGCACAGTTCAATTAAATGCAACATAATCTCTGCAGCAAAAAATTGGTTCTGTAGCTAAAATCAGGTTCCAATGAAAGAAAAAGGGAATATATTTCCACATATTTTTAATTATATAGAATTTCCTCAAACATGATTTTTCATAATATATTCCATTAAGTTAACATCATATTTGAAGAAAGAGCATTTTCTGATTTCATTTGAAGCCTGATTTTGAGCAATTACAGTGTCATTGTTCCGCGGTAGAAAGGTTGAATTCATTTACTGTGTGGTTATGCTAGTTATGATTGATGTCTCTTCTCCAAATGATAAACCAATCACCCCAATGATGTAATGTCATTTTAAGAGTGCCATAATCACATTTCTCTCCAACTAGAAGCTCTGATGAGTTCTAATAAAGATTTATGGTAGATTAAAGGCCTACATAATATCAACAATGGATTGCTCATTTGATGAGAGATTTGATTAGGTAATTTTTTTGAAAAAGAATATGAGTTTACTAAATATATCAGGCCTGGCTTTGAAGAAGGGCATGGGCCATCATAGTAGCAGTCCATCACTCCATCTCCAGAATGAATTGTCTTAAACGTATTTATGGGGTCCTCTCTAATTGTAGAGGTTGAGGCCAGTGGTGGCATACACTCATGGATGGAGCCAAAACACAATCTTATCAAGGAAAGCTCTTGGCATGGAAAGTTCTGTACTGCTTTTGATGGAATATGTTAATGAACACCATGAGTGGCAAATTCAGAACAGAACTCTGGGTCAGGAGCAATTAATTTCTGCAAATGTCTCTCCTTGGTCCATGGGTACTTAACCCTAGATATTGCTAACTCCTACATTTCTATGTTATGTAAACAAGTCACTAACAAGAGAAATCAAAATAAGGCATGATTGTTGCTCGGCCCAGGGCAATTCCACCTAAAATTCAGAGGTTGCATGGGGAGGCAGTAGCCACAAAATCCTCAAAAGTGGGACAGAACCCTGTAACCAGTCCCTTTGCTCTGTGAATGTGAAAACCACAATGAGAACTAGGGATTTAGAAGCAGTATTTATCATGGTACCATGCGATCAGCTTGTTAAATTCAAGTGAAGTGGCACAGTAGAGGATTATAGGAGAGGTCACCCCCAAACACTTCAGACTTGGCAAGACATTCCATATTCATGTCAAGGGAACACATTTTAATCACAAAATCATTTAAACCAGGAAGGAGGAAAAAGTCAAAAGCCAACCATCAAAAAACAAGAGGTCTGCGATGCACACAAATTGAGCACGTGAGGGTGTCCAGGGTCACTCGGCTATGCCCAGAATTGTAGTAATACAAAATTCAATATTCCATTGTCTCTCTGCACTTCACCTTTGAGACCTACATGCTCTCATGTGCAGCAGCGGGCAAATTCCTGCTGCTGAAGGAGGCCCAAACCCTCTTAAAATGAGCAAGATCTCTTCAGTAACTGGGACCTTCAACAGATGTATCCTGGAATGGCAATGCCACAAAACAACAAATGTATTTCACCTTGATGATCCCCACACCGCCTTCTCCCCAGCCCTTGTTTCAGAGTTGTCATTTTGCTGGAGACTCGAGACTGTCATGCACACATCACACATTTAGACACCACAGTTTCCTTACCACTGCTGGAGGCTTGCTGGGGCCCTGAGCATGCTCTGAGCAGGTATGAATTGGGGGAGAATTCCTCATCGGGGTTGGTGTCCATGATTTGATGGGAGGTGTTGCTGTCTAGCAATGGCATCTGGCAGCTAACTGGTGGAGGATTATGGGAGCTAGGCAGCTGAGCAGATGGGAGGAGGCTAGACGAGGATGTAGGTGGAATGGGACGACCTGGGAAAGAGGACAGAGGGGTCAAAGGTCAGCAATGAATGTCATGAGAGCATCCAGAGAAAGTTACATTGAAACCACCTCACAATACAAATATCCAAAAGAAGAAATGCTCCAGATGTATTTTTTCAAGTGGTTTGATGTTTTTCTAAATGTCCAAATTCATACCACAGCTAGCTGCATATTTCAGAAACGCGGCAGAAGAAATATTCATGTACACAGCTGAAATGGAATCAGTCTGGAAAACATCCACTTCTTTCTGTCTCCTCCGGTATTGTCCTAATCTAGGTCTGCACATCTCTCACTGAACTGTCCTTGCTGGTCTCCCTGCTTCCACTCTTGCCACATACCCATCTACTCCCCATTGTCCCCATCCCTTCTCCACAGTAGCCAGAATGATATTTTAAAGATAGAAATCAGGTCGCATCTTTTGCCTGCTTGGCACTCTCCAATGGCTTCCCATTGCATGTAGAAAGAAACCCAAGCTCTTTATGATAACCTACCTGTATTTCCTATTTTGGCACTAGCTGCCTCACCTCTAATAGTGGCCATTACCACTCTCCACTTGGCCCCTCACTTTCCAGCCATCAAGGCCATCTTTATTTCTGCTGCTTGAATAAGCCTCGCCATCCCATCTTCAGAGTCTACACATCCTGTCCCCTCTACGTGGAACATTCTCCCCCACTTGCACCTCACTGACATTTACAATTCTGCTTCTTCTCTTCATTCAAGCCTTCTCTGTCTGCCTTCTTGAAAGTTTCCCACCTATCTGCTTCATCCTATTAGCCTGCTTACGTTTCTTCATAGTCCTTATTACTATGTGAAAATGAACATCTATTTTAGTCACCCCTGCATCCTCAGTGTCTTCCTAATGAATAACACCTGGTGAATGAGTGAACAAATAAATAAGGTAGACTAAAACCAAATTAATTAGTTTGGGGTAGAAGTAGAAGAGAGATGGAAAGATTGACACATTGACATCCCAAAGAATTGCCAATGCCCCCACTCTCTCCACCGTGTAATATTTTTGGACACCAGGAGGCAATTCCTACAAAGAGAATCACAGCCACTCCAGGCCATGAGGAGGAGCAGCCAGCCTGGCAGGAAGTGGGCAGTGACGTGGAGCTGCCCTTGGATCAAGAAGTTCTCCTCCCACACGGAAGGCTGCTGTGACCTTTCAGGTGGCAGGCAGCTCCTGGCAGCAGATTGCTGAGTGAGGATAGTTGCCATGTATACTTTCACCTGATTCACCCTTACATCTTGGGGTCCTCACAATTGCTTGCCTGCTGGTTTATTCATCTGGGAAGCTCATAAAAATGAGCCAAGGCTAGCAGTCCACAGGATATGCCCTAAAGCTGGGGGTGTGGAAGGAAGGGTAAGATGCTGAGAAAACAAACTGAAGAGTCAGGTTAGAGTTTCAACTCAGGCAAGAAGTGCCCAAGCCAGAGGAACATGTTGCCCTGCTTTTAGATGTACTACATATGTGAAGACGTCTTCAGACACCTCAAATGGATGCCAATTTTCGTTGTCACTTTCATAATTGTATTTCCTGATCTATTGTTCAGTGCGTTAAATGTTATCGCTAGATGAGCTTGGTTCAATAAAATGTAGAAGTGCCTCCTATGTGCTCTGAGGCAGTGAGGACACAAAAACAAGCAAGACATCATTCCTGCCCTCAGAGAGCTCACAGTCTAGTGGGGGAGGCAGACAGGTAAGTACATCATTTCAGCCCCATGATAAGAGCAGGATGGTGGCATGTAAGGACATGTTGCTGTGGGAGCAGAGAAAAGAGATGCTTGGTCCAGCTTGGCCAGGTGGGGGTAGAGAGTCACACTGAGATTCCTGGGAAAGGTGATGACTGAGCAGTCTTTGAAAGAGGAGAAAAGGGACTTCCAGTGAGAGAAAAAATGATGAACAATGGCACAGAGACCTCAAAGCACTAGCCTGTTATCACTTTTGAGGGTGGGAGTCAGAAAGAGACAGGAAATAAGATACTCAAAGCTTAACGTTAGGGGCTCCTGTCCAGTAACACAACTGAAGAAGATTAATCGTGGAAATAGATCAACGTTGATAAATGGAGTTTGATTTGAAAAATTCAATTCATTCATAACTGTTTGGGAGCCATATAAAGTGTGATATTCTAGCCAGATGCTCCAGCAGAGGTAGGTGGACCACCTTAGAGCTTCATGAGAATCAGTGCTAACATTTAATCAATACCTTCTCCCATAGGTCTCCCTCCAATAACTATCAGTATTATTACTATTTTAACTGCTAATGTTTTTTGCACAATGACTATCTACCGCTCACTGTGCCAGCCACTGCACATGTATTATCTCATTTAATTCTCAAAACAGTCCTAAAAGGTTAGAATTATTATAATTCCCATTTTATAGAGGAGGAAATTGAGGCATAGAGAGGTGAGATTGCATAGTTAGAAGTGATAGGGGCCAGGAGGCAAACTCAGGTTTGTCTATTCCAAAATCCACTCTCTAACCACTCTGCAAGGTGTTTGCCCAAACAGCATGGTGACAAAAAAGGAAGAAGGGCACATACAGGGAGAGGGGTGATTTATAGGAAATCACATTTCCAGTTTCCCATTTCCCAACCCCAAGGCACTCTCAAGATTTGAAATAAGAAACATTTCTTTGAATAACCATTTATAGCAGCCATCATCTGGCAGAGTTCAAAGCTTTTCTCGTAATTTTGTCAGGAAATTCAAAGTGACTCCTTCACAGTGATGTTACCCTCTGCCTCCTTCGAGGCTCCTGAATGTGGAGGTGTGCTGACCAGGGCGCTGTGAAGTCAGTGTTGACGTCCAGTTGGCAGTGAAGCTCTGGTGGGAACAGATTTTAACTCACAATCAATAGGCTCTACAGTTTGTATTATCGAGGCATATCTGAAACTGCATGTTGAAGAACAAGGATGGCTGGGAGCCAATTTTTAAATTCCTTTGAGTGACTGAGGTGGAACTGAAGTTCAAGTGCGATTTTCCAGGAGCCTGATATGATAGTTGCTGTGAAATCATTCTTTACATGAACTTTTTGAGATTTTGTTCAGCATGAATTCATTTCACATAGCACAGACAGAACTGCCTTTTAATTTATACAAACACAGACAATGGAAGAGCAGTCATAACACAATGAAAGCACTGGGATTACTTTGGTGTGTGAAATACACATCACGGAACTGTCTCATTCCTGTTATTTCCCTGCCTCCTTTAAATCCCTGCTCTGGTAGCTCCTTAACCTGTGCTTGCTGGTACCTCCCATTACTTGGGAAATATCTCAGTCCCTAGATCAGCCCCCAATCAAATTGTATGCTGTTGCCTATTTGCTATGTCATTTGCTAATTTTGTTCACTTATGCTACATTTTTCCCCCTGACTATTCCAACTGACAGAGACCATCTGTACCGACACAAACAGGTTCCAAAGTACAGGGGAGAGAGCTGGAACTTATACAGACTCACTCTATAGACCACGACTTCTTACCAAAATGCCTAGGGTGGGATGGGCATGGAACCAGGGGCTATGCACTTATTTGGTTTCTGCTTTATGCACTACAGAGGCCCCCTGATCCCCAAACTATTTTTGAAGTTCCATTTTGAATGGGTATAGAGTCCCTGGCAAATATACAGAAAACAGGGTTTAACTGAACTGTTAAAAAGCAAAAGGAAACATGCAAAGGCAGCAATATGTCATTCATTAAACTCATATGGTCTTGTGTATGTGTAGGTGTGTATGTGTGTGTTTTCCAAGATGCCCATGTAAATCAAAGTCTAATTATCTGCGAGATTGGATTTCCCCTACAGCCTTAAAAATGGGGACTAATTCCAATTTTGCTAATTTACCTGTTTCCAAATGAGTAAGATTTTGTGATAGTTTCAACTCGTGAACTTTTTCTGATTAAAAAATCTATAGCTGGAAAAAGCAGTTCCCCACCAACTCTGATAGATTGGTAGTGGCTGTTTGGAACGCTGTGTTGAGAAGGATGCTGAGGACGCCCTGGGTTCAGTGGGAAACAGTGCCACCATCAATTAGAAAAATCATGGACCAGGAGTGGGTGAAAAGTAGCAGATGCACAGCATTTATTTGCCAGCCACACTCCAGGCCTTCATTCATCATCCACTCCAGCCACACCTGAAAACTTTATCCTACACCATCTGTGGTTGAAGTCACATTGCTTTAATTCCCATTGTCTCAATTACAGCACCATTTTTCTCCTTAAATCGATTTGGATCCAGATTTAGTTCCCCTATCCAAGATTAAAGGGCTGCAATCTTCCCTCCACCCCCAAAGCAGTAAATATTTTCAGTGAAATTGCTGCTCTACCCAACTGTTGCTAATAGATTCACTAATTTATGATCGAAGGCACGTTGCAGATCAATTCCCAAAATTCACTTAAAACAACTGCTTCCTTTTTCACTCAAAGAAATAGATATTAAAATGTCCCGTGTAGACAATGCATAATTGATCTGTGTAGTGATCGGGTATCAGAATATTTGATGGAGTAGAACAAAAAAAATGGTACCAGGAAAAATTGCATCCAAAATAAAAAGTTCAATGACCTCATTACCAATTATATATGTGATCTTGCCTTGTGCTAAGAACAGAGCTAAATATTTAATGTGTATTTTTCTCTTTTAACATCTACAACTTTTCTATGAACAAGTACTATTATCATCCCCCTTTACAGGTGAAGAAACTGAGGCTAGAAGGACTGACTCTGTCCTGATACTGCCCTGTTAGCAAGCAGCAGAGCTGGCTGGGATTTGAACCCAGGCAACCCGACTCCAAAAGCCAAGCCTTGAATGGTTCATTCTACTATTTTCCGCATTAGACAAGAATGATTGCTAAAAAGTGAGCAAGATATGAACCCAAACTCATCGGTCCTCTTCTGGAGGGCACCTTCAGGGTCACCTTAGGGGAGGTTATTAACCATGGGCATAAACAAGGCTCCTCCTGGAAATAGCCACACTGACCCCTCATGCAGAATAAATAATTTG